TGTGGGGAGCCTAATTAACTATTTTATGAGGCTATAAAAAGACTCCAGCATGCGGGGAATGCGGAAGTACTTCATCAGTGTCGCAGATGGACAATGGAAGCGACAGCTCCCCTGGCGGTCAGAAAAAGCTAAATAGCCTCTGTATATGTCTGTATACGTTGTATGTCAAATTGGCATTGAATGTTTGCCATATATGTGTACACTGTAATCCGTTCTGAGTCTACTGCGGGGTGAGAAGGGCGGAATATAAATACTGTAAATAAATAATAATAAATAAATTTGCTGTGAGGCCGCCCTGAGTCCCCCCCTCGGGGGTGAGAAAGGCGGGGTACAAGTTTATGAAATAAATAAACAAATAAACATATCAGCATTGAGCTTAGTGCACAGCATAATCAAGGTCTGGTTTTAGAAAATTTCCCCCTGAATATTTTTGAACTTTGGTTAGCTGAATTTGTGGATACAGAACCTATGGATACGGTCAACTGCTTATAATATGGAAATGTCTAAAGGAGATGTGGAATGTCTTTTGTCTGAGTGATATCATAGTGTTGGTCCCCTGGTTAAGGCCGTTAATGTCCCGATTTAAGTCTGGGAGGCCACAGACATATTTGTATTACTATATTTATTTATATCCCATCCTCTGGAGGGGAAAAGCACTCACCTGCCACTTGAAGGTGCTTATGAGAGCCTTCCCTCGTGCCCTACTCTATTAATCCTTATGTGCTTTTCCTTGCCAAAGTACTATATATGCACTGAGATTCCCTCAACCACCACCAGAACTGTAGTGAGGCATAACGGCATATGTACCTTTGATATAATAGGCCAGCCATAAAATGAAAGGCAACTGAAACAGGCTTGATTCAAGAAAAACATCAAGCTGCTAGGGAAAGCAACATTTGGGATGCAAAAGAACCAACCATTGTGCTTTTACTTCACATAAGTGAGACAATTTCAAGAGTCCCATCAGCCATACTTCCCCAAGAGCACATGGTCTGGCAACAAATCCAGTACCCAACCACACCAGACTCTATGATCCGATTGGCCCACAACAACAGGGGATTCTCTAGATAAGCCAATAGGAGCCAAAGGCAGGTTTCTAGGAAGAACTGCTGAAACAGATACAAGGCAAGTCTAGCCTGCTACTATGTTGTGAGCCTTGTTGCTGCCCAGAAAGCATCTGTTGGGGAGGGAGGAGGCACAAAAGCTGGGTTCAACTTCAGTGCCAAATCAAGCTTGTTAATTTGAGAACAAGAAAGCAGGATCTAATTTGTGTCTCTTTTGCCCCTTCTACACTGCCATATAAAATACAGATTATCGGCTTTGAACTGGATTATATGGCAGTGTGGCATTGCATGGAAATGCATTTCAGCTACATTGCCTGAAAATAAGCCCCCTTCTACACTCCCATATAATCCAGATTATCAAAACGGATTATTCACATTATGTGCTTTGAACTGGATTATATGAGCCTACACTGCCATATAATCCAGTTCAAAGCACATAATGTGAATCATCCATTTTGATAATCTGGATTATATGGGAGTGTAGAAGGGGGCTTATTTTCAGGCAATGTAGCTGAAATGCATTTCCATGCAATGCCACACACACAAACACACAGCATTTCTTTGATTCTAAGACAACTTTTTCCCCATATTGAGTGTGCTTTTTCTTACATATATAAATACAGCTTTCTTTCCTGTTGATGGTACTGAAATTACAATTTGCATCTGGCAATCAATGGTGTGTTAGCGCCCTTCCACACAGCCATATAACTCAGAATATCAAGGCAGAAAATCTGACATGATTTGCTTTGAACTGGGTTATCTAGTCCACACTGCCATATATTCCAGTTCAAAGCAGATACACAGCATGTGGCATAACAGTTTGAGCATTCAATGAAGAGCAGTATGGCCAAGTCTCGGATCACTGTAAGTCAGAGGCAACGTGAAGACACACAACAACAAAAATAACATGTACCTCAAGACAATCCTATAGCTAGAGGAACAAAAATCAGAATTACTTTTAAATTGCCTTGAACAGGCAGGATTACTTTTAATATATATGTGTCATTTTTATGCTTATATTGTTTTGTTAATCTTATGTTTATGTTGTTTACTCTGTATGTATTGATGATGTTACTTTTAAAAATCATTTTATGTACATGCGGCCTGCTCTCAGTCATTATGTTTGGTTTCTATGTTCTGTGTATATTGTTTATATGCTTTGATGTTTTATACTTTATTGTTATGTTGTTTATTATATTGCAATTTGTATTTTTGTATTGTAATTTGTTGTTTGGGCTTGGCCCCATGTAAGCCGCTCCAAAGTCCCCGTTGGGGGAGATGGTGGCGGGGTATAAATAAAGATGATGATGATTATTATTATTATTATTATTTTCCCATCCTAGAGGTGGATTTCTCTCGCTTCTTGTTGTCTCACCCGTTCTTAATTTGTAACTCAGGGAGTGTTTGCATTCCCTTCCTATTCTGCCATAGGCACAGTTTACCTCCTCAGTCGTTATTATTATTTGGAAACCGCTTTGAGTCCCCTCGAGGAGATGGAGCGGTATATAAATAAAGTTTTATTATTTATTATTACTACTGATAAGGGTTTTCCATAAAAAATGTACTTTAATGTATTGTCGAAGGCTTTCATGGCCGGAATCACTGGGTTGTTGTAGGTTTTTCCGGGTTATATGGCCATGTTCTAGAGGCATTTTCTCCTGACGTTTCACCTGCATCTATGGCAAGCATCCTCAGAGGTAGTGAGGTTTGTTGGAAGTAGGAAAATGGGTTTATATATCTGTGGAATGACCAGGGTGGGACAAAGGACTCTTGTCTGCTGGAGCTAGGTGTGAATGTTTCAACTGACCACCTTAATTAGCATTTGATGGCTTGGCAGTGCCTGGGGGAATCTTTTGTTGAGAGGTGATTAGATGTGCCTGATTGTTTACTCTCTGTTGTTTTGCTGTTATGGCTGACTTCTCTGAATTACAGAGAAGTCAGCCATAGCAGAGCACCTGATGAACCAACCTGGATATTCCTGAAATCGATGGGAGACTAGAAAACCAACTACTTTCTCATTTCCACACATCCCTACAGCCCATTTTTATTCCCCTGGGGTCAGCCAGGAAGGCTTATATCCCATCTATAAGAGCCTTAAAATGCTTTAGCGCTCACCCATCCTCTTCCTCTTCTTCTTCTTCCTCTTCTTCTCCATCTCCTGCTTCCTTGTAGCGCTTGTTCAGGATGTAATCCCTCAGGAACCGCTCCCCCTCATCCAGTTTGGGATCATTCCAATATTCTTTAAGAGGTGCCTGGGAAAAATTAAGAATAATAATAATAATAACTTTATTTGTACCCTGCTACCATCTCCCCAAGGGACTCGGTGCAGCTTACATGAGGCCAAGCCCACAATACGTCAATAAACAAAAGCAATAACAATAATCAATACAAAACAGTTAAAATAACTCAAAACAGAAAAATACACAATAAGCAATAGACAATAACAATATCAAACATACAGCATTTAAAAACCAAATGTAATAATTCAAATTGAAAATCAAAAAGTGCTGGGCATGAACAAGGTAAGGCAAATTAGAATAGGGTTTTCAGAGAAAGATAAGGGCGTGCAGACAATCCTAAGTCACTATTAAAGTGCATTTGAGGACATATTGCTAAGAGTTTTCCTTATTCTGAGAAGGCACACTGGAACAACCACGTTTTCAGGCTCTTCCTAAAGACTGCCAGCGTTGGGGCATGTTTGATGTCCTTAGGGAGTGAATTCCAGAGTCGAGGGGCCACCACCGAGAAGGCCCTCGTCCCCACCAATCGCACCTGCGATGGAGGTGGGAGCATGAGCAGGGCCTCTCCAGATGATCGAAGAGAACGTGTGTGTTCGTACAACCATGTACAGCAGGCGGTTCCCAGCATCTCACTTACCAGGTCTTGAAGGTCCTCTTCTGCACCTGGCTTTGCCTGGCCCTTCAGCCAGAGGATGTAGTCAGCCTCCTCGCGCTCCTGAAATAAGTTAAGTAGAAGAGAGACAAAGTTGTCCCCTGCAACAGCCCACTCCTTGATTTGAGCAATGGTGGCTATGTCTACTTAAACAGTTAAAATTTGAAATTCATTCCTTAGTGGGTATTTATTAATGAGCAATCAATTAATCGCTCTGTGCCCCACAAAAAAAGATAAAACAAGGACTGGTGTCAAATATCAAATTACCTCCAAATGAAGAGGCTATTTTCTGTATTTCACCAGAAGTTTGGCATTGTCAAGGCCATCGTATAGCATGTTTATTCAGGAAAGCAAGTGCAAACAAAGCTTTCGGACCAGAAGCACCTTGACAGATGCCTATCACTGTCTCTGCAGGATGCTGGAGGAAAGCTAATTGCATCCTATGGCAGAATTGGATGCAAATTCAGCATATCATTGTGGTTCAAAGTTCACCCTCCATTTTAACAGGGGAAAGATGGGGGGAGAAATCTCTTTTCCTTATGACTTGACAGGATGCTTCAGGTACATGTCATTTTGTTCATACATTAACGCCAGCATCGTGAATTGTGCTAGGAATTGAGTGCAATTGCTTATCAGTAGTGAAAATTGTGTCCATTAAGGTAATTAGGAAGGTGATATCACGCTTCCTACAGCACAAAATATGGGGGTATTTACTATTAATGTGAAATTATGAAATGCAAATAATCACACAGTAATCCAAAAGGAATGAGCCATGCCGGTGAGATGCTTTATTGTTTTTGTCAGGTTTTACAATGTATTGTAATGTAATATAGCTGAGTCATGCACTGCTAATAGGCTTCTATTGGAAATGCTGAGTCATGCATTAACTGTATATATGGAACTTCATTTGGGGAATGTGTTCTGGCCTATTCCAGGTGATTGTGAATGATGTAATCCTGGGTTTGAGTTAAGTTAATGAGTTGGGAACCAATCAGTGATTGCTATGTGTAAATGTACAGAATTGTATATAAGGAAGTCATGTACAGTGTATATTTCTCTCCTTGTACTGTGATGCTGTTTGCCGAAGGCTCTGTGTAATTTATTAAAGGAACCTGTCTGCTAAGACAAGATATAACTGTGTGCTGTGGTAAGTTTGTAGTGTCATCTAGATTAGAGGGGAAAACAATAGTAAAACTGACAATGGCCAGGCATGTGCTCAAGTGCCTGTGGAGAGTTCCAGAGTGACTGCAGTTTGTGGGAGCAGTTGACTGAAAATACTGTGCAGGAAGAAGCTACTGGAAAGCGCTGAAGTTGTGCAACTGATCTGCTGCTGAATTGTGAGATAAAGCGCGACAGTTTTGCTATCTCAAGGGATTTTATGAGCTTCAGATTCTATGGAGAATTATAGAAGTGAAATGCTGGGCTTCCCACCCTTC